TTCTTTTTCTGTGCATAAGCTTAAAATAGAATGTGATCCCTCATGAATAAGGAAAAGAGAAATTCAGAATTGTTGAGCATTGCGTGGTTTTGATGGTACAGCATTAGAATGTTGGTTTTGTCAGGGCAGAATTTATCCCTTCATGGCTCCAGAATCTGCTGCTTTCACTTCATACAGTGTTGTTTTTGTTTTACAGAAAGTTTATAAGCAGCAACCCAATAGCAACATATTCTTCCTTGCAGACCGAACAGAAACATTGTCTGAATGCAAAAGTAAGTTTGCAGTGTAAAAGTATATAAAATATTTTAATATTTAAAAGCTGTATTTGTATTTCATGTATAGATATATATATTTCATGTATATTTCAAAGATATATTCAAATTAGAAACTGGTAGCTGTGTGTCAAATACAAAGTAACAGAAGAATGGATAATAGAGGTGGTGATGATGGAACAAGCATTAGAAAAGTATAAATTTAGAATTATAAATTTAATTTTCTGGATTGAACAACTGCTACTTCTCTTTGCTTTGATTTAGGTTCATCTGAATTATACTGATTCTGATTATTACATAGCCAGGAGTTGGTGATTCCCCCATTGCACTATGTCTCTCTTTGGAAGAAAAAAAAAATCATAATCTTTATATAATTCAGAGGAATAAGATACAGTGAGCTTATGTAGCTTGTGGTAGTAATGATAGAACACAAGCATAGCATTTGGTTAATTACTGTTTTATGTTTATCACTGTAATTGAACAAGTGGCTGGAATTACTAATTTCTTAGATATACTCTTAAACTTGTCTACTCATAAACTTTCATGTTTATGAAATTGATTATTTGTATCATTTTCTCTTACACAGATACATTAGATGAATTAAAGAAGGCACATCAGGAGCTGGAGAATTCAGAAAAGGCAAAAATCAAGAAATAGTTACAGTGACTTCCATGCTGCAATGTGTGGAATTTGCTGTGTTGTTACCTTGTGCAGCCAGCTTGCAATTCATGATTTCCTTAACGAAGACATTCTCTGCCACCTGAGAAGAAGAGGACCAGACAGTAGCCAACAGTTGATAAAAGCTGTGTCTGATCTCTCTTATGAATGTCTGTTTTCAGGCCATGTACTTCGCCTGAGGGGACTGGTGACTCCTCAGCCTCTGGAAGATGCCAAAAACAATGTTTTCCTTTGGAATGGAGAAATTTTCAATGGAGTGCATGTAGGAGATCTAGAGAATGATACTGAAGTAATGTTTCATCATCTGGCATCATGCAGCAGTGAAATGGACATTTTGTCACTGTTGTCATCTATTCGGGGTCCCTGGTCTTTTATTTATTACGAAGCTCCCAGACACAGTTTATGGTTTGGTAGAGATTATTTTGGTCGTCGTAGTTTGCTCTGGCAGTTCAGTAATGAGGCTGACAATGCTTTCTGTCTCACATCTGTAAGTGGTTATTCTAAACCAGGCAACCAATGGCAAGAAGTCCCAGCATCTGGAATTTTCAAAATTGATCTCAAAGCTTGTGCAACAACTAAATCTTTGTCTTTAACATTGTTTCCATGGATGTACAGCTGCACAGAGAAATCAGTAGAAGAAACATTCATTAATGTTATTGACCAAGTGTCAAAAGACTTACCAAACCACATAACTCTCATGGTGAATAAATCAAAGCTGTGGCTTAGAGCACCAGTTATCCCCTTAAACAAAACAGTTTCTGAAACCTCAGGTGACTGTCCAGACTCTAATTCTAGCAACATTAATCGTGTGGTCTCTGTAGAAACCCTTCAAGATTTTCTTGCAGAGGAACACAAGAAAACATTAGCTTGTCAGTTTATTGATGTTTTAAATGAAGCAGTCAAGAGACGAGTTCTATGCCTCTTTAGAGCCCAAGACCAGGTAACAAGAGACATTCCAAGCATGTCTCATACGAGAGCACATGTTGCAGTGCTCTTTTCTGGTGGCATTGATTCTATGGTTATTGCAGCCCTGGCTGATAAACACGTGCCTTTGGAGGAGCCAATTGATCTTCTCAACGTAGCTTTCATGATGAAAGAGCAAGCTAAGCATAAGGGTACCACTAAAAGGCCTACCAGCCATGAAGTACAGCTTGATTTGCTTTGTCCTCAAGAAAGCTGTCAAGATCTTGATGCTAACACTGGTGCTCATTTATCTTGCTTTGATGTTCCTGACAGAGTCACTGGTAGGGCAGGACTGAAGGAATTAGAAGCCATTAACCCTTCAAGAACCTGGAACTTTGTGGAAATTAATGTTACACTAGAGGAATTGAAAGAAATGAGAAAACAGCGCATCAATTACTTAATCTACCCACTGGATACAGTCTTGGATGACAGTATTGGCTGTGCAATTTGGTTTGCTTCCAGAGGAGAGGGCTTCATTAGTAACCAAGGAGAACTGAAACCATATAAAAGTCCTGCAAAGGTACTAGTTTTTATAGTTTTGTTTTCTGCCTTGTGTTTGACCTCTGTAAAAACAGTTTTGTTGATTGAGAAATCAGCCGGTATCTTTGCTATTCATAAGGCTTCTGAAATTCAGTGTCAGAATGTAGAATAGTTTTATAATATTTGTGTAATTCAAGAGTTAAAAATCACATTCAGTTCTTCTGTCATGTGCACAGCTTTTCAGTGAACTTGGGTAAGAATCAATGTGAATAGGAAAAAAATAACCACCATCTATCATTTTTTATTCTGATTTCTCACTTCTCTATTTCTGATGGTTTGTGAAGGGAAGAATGAACTGTTTAATTCCAACTGTTGAAGGCACAGTAATGGGCCAGATGTAMTAGTGTTTTTTCTCTTGATAACATTTTACTATACTTACTGAGTAGTATAAGCCATTTTCACTTTGTGTAATGTAGTTGTTACTAACCCAGTAGCTTGTGAATGAATTGTACTCTGGGTGTACATTCAGGTAACTATTTACCACATATGACATACACAAAGTCTTTGGCAATAATTTTTTTTATAAAGGCTGGTATTGAATGAATGCTGTTTATTATAATAGAAACTAAAAAAAGACATTCTTCAAATCTATGTATTTGTATATATATTACATTATTTTGATGTTTGTTCCTTGCTCCACTAGCAACATTTATGAGTACTTTTAGGTCTGTATTTTTATACGTACAACATTATTTTGATGTTTTTTCCTTGCTCCACTAGCAACATTTGTGTGTACTTTTAGGTCTGATTTACAATTAGCATGAGAGTCAGACCTAAAAGTACACGTTTCAAGTGACTTTACTGGGAATTGTTTCAGGCTTTATAAATGTGTAAGGCACATCCCATCATAATACGTAATATTTTTACAAGATGTGTATTAAGATTATTCTCCAGAAGATGTAGTTAACATTTAAGATCTGTTATATATTAACTTGCAGAGACATTAGATTTCTTTTATTTTGTTTCCTTAGGTTGTGCTTACAGGAATTGGAGCAGATGAACAGCTTGCTGGGTATTCTCGACATCGTGTTTGTTTTAGAAAAGATGGCTTAGAGGGTCTTAATAAAGAACTTGAAATGGAGTTGGGTCGCATTTCTTCTCGAAATCTTGGTAGAGATGACAGGATTATCGGTGATCACGGAAAAGAAGCCAGGTATTACTGTTTTAACATGAAGCAAAACTGGTTTTGCCGGTTAGATGCAGTTTTTAACACTCTCAACAAAATCTTAATTGAAACTTCTGTGTGTTTTATTGTCTCTAGTCCTATTGCAATTTTTTTGATGTGTAAAAGTGTTGTGAAGTTTTTTGATTTTGTGAAAAAAGTGGTCTGTATCACACTGTGGAAGAGTTACTTAAGGAAATTTAGCGACTTGATTTCCATCTAGAAGTTTTAAGAAGCAGCAACATACATTGAAATAGGCAGATTCAAGCTGGTTTTATAATTCTAAGTGCAAGTATTCTGCACAACTCAAGTGTTCTGATGTGGACCTTTGGGGACTGTCTCTGGAGAATGACAATGTAACATATAAGCTGGTGTTCCTGTCCACACAATAAAGGCATGATCAATATCCATTGCATTTCTTGCTGTTAAGTCTGAAGAGCTGAAGAATCATTTTGTGTCTACTTTCTCCATACCACCATGAACTTGCAAAAAATTCCTTAGGTGTTGTCCAGGAGCAGAGGCCACTCAGGTGCATGAAACGTTTTTTTCATGTGATTTTTGTGCCTGTGTTTTTCCAAATTGGTTCTTAGCTGCACATTTTCAGTTCACCACAAGAACAGTTGCAGTGTTGGATGTGCAGTGCTATTAATCATGCATGTCATTAGGTATGAATACCTGTAATTCAGAAGATCAGAATTTGTTGTGTCAATCTTTTTGTTTCAAAGTTACAGTGTAGTTTTACAGTCTTTGCATGTGGTAAAGGGGAAAACCAAACTCTTTCTATGAAATTTTCAAAGGGTCTTTCTCCATGTATATTTCTTTCAGGTTTCCTTTCCTTGATGAAGATGTTGTTTCATTCCTCAATTCTCTGCCCGTCTCAGAAAAAGCTGATTTGACTTTACCTCGAGGAATTGGTGAGAAACTGATTCTGCGCCTTGCAGCCAAGCAGTTGGGCCTGACAGCCTCAACTGTTTTGCCAAAAAGGGCTGTACAGTTTGGATCTCGGATTGCAAAACTAGAGAGCAACAGTGAAAAAGCATCTGACACATGCAGCAGACTGAAGTTACTTTCAGTAGAGGAATTGTAGAGCTGTATCTTGAAATGTTGTACTTGTTCTATATGCAAATTCAGTAAATCTTAAGAGTTTTCTTAGAATGTTTGGTCTGTTCTTTTTTACACACTTGGACATAATTATTAATAATCAGAGTTTTACATGTATATGTATACGAGGGACTCACTATGAATGCATCCCATGCTTTTAATTTTTTTGTTGTTTTAATACTGAGAATGCTTAGTTTGGAATAGTAACTGGAATCACTTTGGTGACAGCACACAGCATTGGTTTCTCTGACAGGTGATTTTCAACACTTGTAACCCAAGTACTGTAACTCAATCTAACAGCATTGAAACAGTTTTTATTGAACAACTTATAGTTGCAATTACTTTGTTAAGTTAATTTTTAAGATGCCAACCATCGTATCTTTTTTAATTCTGGCACCTTGATCGAATCTTCTTCAACTCTTTTTGAAATATCAATTCCAAGGGGAGCTCTAGAAAACAAAATAATGTATTTATTAAAAATTAACATTATCATTGCAGTATCACACAGATATACAGCTTTAGAGACCTTTTTTACAATTAGCATGAGAGTCAAAGTATTTCTGTACATTCCTGCACTTATAAAACTGTTACCATTAAAATGGCCTAGCTGAAGCTGTACCTGGAAACATCTTTACTGTGAGGAAATATTTGCATTTGTAGCCTTTCCAAACTCTAGAAACAGAGTTTTGATTTCCAAGCCATCTTCTGGGGATGCTGTTTTACTTAGAATCTGATTTTAGTTGATATTTCATTTTATATCTTGCTGATGAATGCAAAACACACTAGAAATTCACAAGTATCTCTTTTTTATGATAATCTTAAAGTCTACAGCAAGTAAGACTTAGTCTTTTATTCACTGAAATATATACAGCAAATTATTTTTTAAGTAGTTTATAATTTTTCATGGGAAAATAGTAATTTTTTTTTTGTATTGAGACCATCCAAGTATGTTTTCCTGTAAAGGGAAAGGGAAAAAACTTGCAAAAAATCCCAGTTTAAGACCACTGGGTACTTTTGAAATTTAGTATTTTGTTTAGCCTTAAGCCTATGATCTACACAATCATAGTAGGAAAGCTGGTGTTTGAAACATATAGAACTGTTACATGAATGGTAAATTAAGTTTCTGAGACAAAATGAAAATAAATGCCGACTGGGATAATTTGTATTTAACAACCACTTTGAAAAGCAATTTTTAACATTTTTATGTGCTGCAGAGAGACTCCTCAGCAGCTTGTGCCTCTTTTTGGTGTGAACTGCCTCCCCTTTCGCTGCCCACAGTGAGGAAAGAGACTGGGAATGCACAGTCACTCACCTTGGTTCATAGCGGACGCCATCAGTACTGTGCAGAACGCCCAGTCCTGCACGCAGCCTTTCAATGCCATTCCTGAACAAGAAAGCAGTTATGCAAAAACATATGTCACAACCCTGAATACGTGCACRTGGTTCAGTCACCACTAAAAGAGRTTCCTGACTGATCTCAATTTTAAACAACATTACAGGAGCACATGCAAAGAGAAACAACTCTTACCATGCAATCATAACACCATTATCAGTGCAGAGTCTTGGAGGAGGACACAGCAAAGCAAAATCATTTGCATCTGCCAAATTCTGTAGACCTTTTCGGATATACTGATTACTTGCAACTCCTCCTGATACAACCTGATAGCATTTCAAAAAGAAAAAAGGCATTAACTCAAAAGTACTGATGGGTTACACACAACTAGCATCCTGTTTATAAAAGGGTTATCAGTTGAAGTTCAAAGACAGTAATAAATGCCGCATTTGTAGATTAAAATGTATCAAAGAAGAGTATGCTAAGTGATCCTATTATGCTAAAAGACTTCCCTGAAACTTGTCAGTCTAATGGAAGGTGTCCCTGTCCATGGCAGGAAGGTTGGAACTGGATGATCTTTAAGGTCCCTTCCAACCTAAACCAGTTYATGGTTCTAATAACTAGAACAGCTGTCAAGTATTGGGGGGCACAGGGTCAAATTACGTGGCCTGAATTGTTATGGGAAGTTAGATTAGATGCTAAGAACATCTCTCTCTAGTTTCAAACCCACCTAAATATTTATATGACTATAGTTCAAACCTGGTATTTTAACTATGATACATGAGATCTTCCTCACCTGTCAAGGGAGAAAGTACAAGGCATCTGCATCTTCAAATGATGTTACAGAGTCAGATATAAAAAGGAGAAAAACATATACCCACCAAAGTGGCATTTTTTGATGGTAAAATGCTGTTTTTGATGCAGAACAGCATGGCTCGATATGTCCTCTGGATAATATGAACAGCCACTGCATGCTGTACAGCAGCAGCAACATCCTTAACACAGGACAGGATCTCACCTTCTTGAATACCTATAGAAGTATATGATCAAAGGGGGGTTCCTGTGTATAGGCCATCAAAAGCTCAGTTTGTATCTGATTGCCTAAAAATACCTTCTTCTTTTTCTTTTTGTACAATGGCATTATTGACGAGGTTCTGAAGTCCAGAGAAGGAGAAGTTGCAGTTCCGATAGTGCTGCATGGGCAGCCGGAAGGTGAGCAGCTCCTGGTTCCCAGTTTGAGCCAAGTGTTCTATGGCCTTCCCCCCAGCCATGCTGTGGCACTCTGGGTGCTTTCTTAAAGACAGTCTTCGTGCTACCTGAGGAGATGATAAACAGACTTGGGATCAGTTCCTCTCCATCACTGTATTGCAATCCATGGAGCAAAACTCGACACCACAAAATCCAATCCAAATTACAAACAGGGCATGATAAGGATAAGACGTAACATCAGCCCAGCGTGGTTTTATTTTTCCCTGGAGTATTTAGAAATGCAGTTCTAGAACAATCTGGGAAAACAAAAGGATCAATAATTTTGCAAGAAACATTAATTACTCCATTTTTAAGCGATAGGAAATACACAGACTGCCATACTGTATTATCAGATACAAAGGAAGTTGGTTTCAACTTTTGAAAATCCCCTTTCTGACTCCACACACTTCCCCAATGTTTTAATAAATATGCACAAATACTATTTTAAAACTCTGTGTCTGAGAACAAAGCCATAAGTGACCAATTTTACAGACTGTACTCAGTGACCCAGAAAAAAATTCTGAAAGCCAAACCATGCTTTCCAAACTGTAAAAAATAAATTTAGTAAGAAAT